CTGATTTAGGGAGCCATCGGCAGGCGCATCGCTCCCAGCGTGTCAGCTAGTTAATTACTTCCAACTTTATCTTTCTTGTCAACACTTCTTGACAAATTGGCCATTATCTTTTTATTCTACAACACTGAGCACTGCTGCTTTGCTGGTGCTGCCTGGAGGATTTTCTCCCTTTTCTGCTTCCCCCCATCCAGAGCGGGATGAAGAGCTCTGGGAGGGACTATCAGAAAGAAGAAGCTGTCAGGAAAATGAGCAAAGGGGCGAAGGCTGGCAGACAGCACAGAGCTAATTTTCACCTACCTTGACTCACAGCAGAATGGGTAATTTGGGGGAGAAATGCTCATTTCTTGGATCCTGAATTTTTAAGAGCTCCTACTCAGTCTATTATGTGGATGAAGTTGAGAAACAAAAATGAAATGAGCTGGCACCTCAGGACCTGGCAGCTTCTAGCTCTCCAACTAACTGTATAAGCAGATGTGAGCTGGCCCGCCCCTGCAGTAAGGAGTCGGGCCGCGACGTAGGAATGCTGATGCCCACTATGGAACGGAAGAGAGAAAAATTATGCCTCCCTCCTCGGTAAGGAAAAACCTTACGGAAGAGCAGCATGACACACTCTAATTAGATTACCAGGATTCATAGGCAATGAGAGTCCAGAAGAAGGTGGAGGGACCAGTGGTGTCACCACTGACACACTGCCTTGTCACGGGGATGAATGTCAGAGGAAGCCGGGAGGCAGAGCCCGGCACTTGCTGTATTTCACTGATTCTAAGGTGCACACTCTTCATTCTTTAGCACCTCTAAAATTAGGATGCAGCATACAGCGGGAGGCTGCAACACTCTCCAACAGTTTCACTGCCAGCTGATCTCCTCCCTACCCTGAGCTTCATAAAAAGCAAAGCAGTTCCTCTAACTCACTGTAAGAGCAGCCAGTGAATCTCTAGGCATTCCTGAGGGTTGCTAGATGTGGAAGAAAAGCGAAGGTTTACTACTGACAGCAGAAGCTTCTTCTCCCTTTGCATGGCCCTGCACTGCATAGAGCACCCGTCCCTCTGGGTCCTTACGGACAGCCAGCTTTCTGTCTGGAAAAGCTGCACTGGGTGTCTAAGATGCGCTCCAAAGGCCCACAGTATACTGTGAGACCCTGGGGTGTCTCTAGAAAGTCAGAAGTGAGGTTATGGTCTCCTGATGCCTCAGCCTCATGTAAGGGGCTGAATCTAAAAGGGCACAGAAGAGACAGCCCATAGCCCGTGCTTCTGCTCCACAGGTGTCCTCTGTTCCCCAACTCCTGGCTGTGTGGGTCGCTGGTTCCGATGCTGGGGAAGGAAGCATGGTACACACACACACACTCTAACCCAGAGCTCCAGTCCAACCTTTCACGGGTTTTTTTCCCCACAAGGACACAGGCTCCCCGAGGCTCTATGGCACCTTGCAGTCAGCATGACTCTCTGAAGAGCACATCCCCACCTTTCTCATGGAGTGGTTTTTCTTCCAGCACAGGTGTGGAACCTCTTCCACACCTGCCTTTTCTGGAAGCCAGGAGACAACTATATTTCTGGCAGCACACACGACCGCCTTGGAGGCCCATGATCACAATGAAGACGTCTGTAGAGGGGGCTCTGTCCGCCCAGCCTGCCCCTCGGCTGCAGACTGGGAAGCGCAGCCACCCTGGCTGGCAACTTGTTGCTCAGCATGACTGGCACGCAGCTTCTGACATTCTTAAAGAATGACAGACCTGTTTTCCAGTTGCAGTGTCTCAGTCAGAGCGGCAGTGCAGCCCCAAGAGAAGCCCTGCAGGTCACGAACTGGTAATCTCGTCCCGCAACCCCTGACAGAATTCTCGTCTCTGGCTAAGAGTGATTTACTGAAACTGCAGTGTAATGGGATCGGGTTCCCCTTTGGGCCAGACAAGATGTCTTAGGTTCCTGGGTAAATTATGGGCAGTACAGCTGCCCAGGGAGAAGGCTGCTTTATGGGGAAATGTCACTTTCTTTGTCCTTTCCTCAGCGTTAGCAGCTGCGTGTGGACCCCAGGCTGACGCGGGCTGCAGTAGTCAGATGAGGCACATACATACGCCTCTAGAATGCGCAGGAGCGGCCGACCCTGCCTGAAAAGCTCTGCAGTCTCCCGTCAGTCTCCGCAATCTCCGAGAGGATAGAGGAGTGAGGCCAGGCTGGGGCTAACCAATGGTCTCAGCTCTTCTGTTCCCACTTTCTTTGATTCTATGACTAACACCAAAAGATTAACAACAGAGTTAAAGCAGGAAAGAACATGGTGACTGCACCATGACAAAACACTGGAAGTTACCACGGAGACAGGCTCTGAGTTTCTGGAGTAGGTAGAAGAAGACTTTCCACGTGGAGTTCCCCTTTCACTCGACCAGTTCCAGGGAAGTATCTGGAGTGGGCTTTGTCCTGAGTGCCAGGCAGAGCGGTGCTGCAAGCAGACGGGACCTGTGTTTTCAGTCTCGTTATTAGTTCAGGCTGGACTCGAACTCACTATGTAGCCAACCTGGCCTCAAACTCATTTAATCGTCCCCCTCAGCCTCCTGAGCGCTGGGTTGCAGGCGCGTGCCACCATGCCCACTAATTAATCCCCATTTTTATGGGCACTCTGCTCACTGAAAGGCAGAGGGAGGGATTAGAAGCTCTGAAGAAGGAAACCACTGGAGACTCCGGTATACTTCATGACATCGTCTGTGACCTCAGCTGTGCCCAAAGTAAGAGCTAATTTTTCCTTTAAGACATTCACAATCAGGGGTTAGGGCTATAGCTCAGTGGCATAAATGCGTACCTGGCAAGCACAAGGTCATGAGTTCCATTCTGAGTACCCAAAAAAGAAATTCAGATCAGAGAGTTGTGGATGTTTTAGAAATCAGGTAATCATCTAGCATGGGAAATACCCTTTAGTTATTTTTCTCAGAACTTGAGGAGATTTATTGCTACTTAAGAAACTTAAACCATTAAAGAAAATCTTCAAATAGGAAAAGCTTCTGTCTCCAAATTATCCCTTATGTTAGAAATAAATTTCCAGAAAATAAATGTCAAAGACCAGACCCTCATGCTGAGATGGATGCTTCTGATCCAAACTCACAAACTCTCTCCCACTTTTCCTAAAAAATGATGTGACATCGGTTGCAAATATGAATGATTCATTTTCTTCCAAATACGAAAACATTCCTTTTTGGGTTAGCAAAACAGCAACAGGGAGGAACAAATAAAAGCTGGCTGGGACCCCACGGTGCTGCAGGAGCCCCAGGGTCGTGTGGGTTATTTACGCATCTGCACGGTGTGTGGCATTTCCATGACCTGCAGTTTAAGCACAGTGCAGATCCCCACAGGGTCCAGCGGGCTCTGCAGGATGCTAACCAGCAGGACTAGGTTCTCCTCACAGAATCAACACCATGAAGCTAATGACGACTCGGCACTCAGCTGGGCTAGACATTTACAAAGAGAGAGCAGGGACCCAGAGACCACGCAACTCAACAGTCTCCGAGCAGAACAACAAGCTGCTGTTGAGTGCTAGCAATATCCCTACCCGAGGACACAAAGGAAACGAGCGATGCTAAGGAGACAAACCCCAGTCCACCTGAGCCCCTCCTGCTTTTCCACTGAAAAACAAAACTTGTTTGGTAATTCCAGATGTCTGCACAGCAATCACTAACCCAGGAGCCAGAGGCCCTGACTGGAAAAGGGCTCTGGGGGATTAAGGCCGGGAAGCTCTGCTGGACGCCAGGCTTGCGTGGGCAGGGACCATGCTGGGTATCAACAGACACGCACCTGCCCTGATGGTTTCTGACATGGAAATGGCCACCATGTTCCAGAGACAGAGCCTCTGTTTTAAGGACTCAGAGACCTCTGTGCACAGTCTTAGTAAGGAGCTCATCTTTAGGATATCTGTGGAAATTCCATGTTTTTGCTTTTTTTTGTCTTTTTGAGACAGGGTCTCGCTCGCTATGCAGTTCAGGCTGGCCTTGAGCTCACTTTGTAGCCCAGGCTGGTCTTGAACTCACAACGATCCTCCTGCCTCAGCCTCCCGAGTCTGGGATTACAGGCACGAGCCACCATGCCCAGCTTTGCATTTGTTTTTAAAATAGCAGTGTCCTCAGAGTATATGACAAATTGTGACATCCCTGTTTTTTAGATACAAAGTCATACTAGGTGGAAGGACACTAATTTCATATTGCACAGAAAGAGGCAATGAAACTCCGATCTGTCAGGTAACAGGGTCTTCCCCTCACACTTCAGTGTGTATATATTTCAAGTCTGGCCCACGGGCCGAGGGTGGGCTGCTCTCCACTCTGCATAGACACTGACGAATGTGGGTGACCGATCCTAGCTCCACTTCAGCAAGCTGAATTTTCATCTCTTCTGTAATTTTCTGACACTTTGTTGTCGAATATCAAGTGTGAAGCTCATGCTGGCCTGCTCTTTGTGCAAGGAGAAACTATGTGAAAGAAAGATGGGGACACAGCGCCTGGGCATCCCCTTCTGGCTCCCTGAGAGACTTGCTCTACCTGCCTATTTCTAGCACTTTTCTACGCTGGAAAATTCAAGTATGAGACCGTGTTATGCCCAGGTTGAATAAGGACTTTGTAAAACACTGAATGAGGCCCTCACAAAGGACCATCCAGCTAGTTAGAAGTATATTCAGCAGGATGCCAGATTGAACCCGGGGCTCGTATAAACTGCATGGACTACATTAACAGGTCTCTGTCAATCTCCGTGTTCCCATTTCCCTTTCTCCCGCCTCACCTTCATCCCACGGTTATATAACCTGGAGTCTGGAAATTCCTGTGATCCTGCCTGCTTGATGATACAGCTGAGCCAGTGGCTGGCAGGGGCATAATCTAATAGGCGAAACGGGAACACAAATTCAGTGCTCTTGTCTCAGCTCAGAGACGGAACAGACAAGGAAAGAAAGCCGCCCTGTCTCCCTCCTCCCCTCCTCTGGCCAAAGTTTATGCTGACTTCACCCAACAGGCACCTGACCCTCCCAGATGAGGTGGGAGGGGCGAAAGCCATGTGCAGGGCCATGGCAGGGGCGGAGGTGCCGGCACAGACAATATTTAAGATGCTGTCTTTGGAGAGCACTCAGGCTTGAGAAGCAAATCAACAGGGCATCCATTAAGCTCAACTTTCAGAAACTCAAGCTTTGAGGAAGGCTAAGGAAGAGCAAGGAAAGCAAGAAGTCAGAGGCGTGAGGCCACCCAGAGTGGGCAGAGGCTTGCCACAGCTCCACAGACCTCTGCCAGGCACAGCCAGACTCTCCTGAAGGACGATCGCCCTGACCCAGGCCCACAGAAGATGCTGACAAAGACCCTCTCCACTGTGACCTGGCTCAGTGTTTTCACCTTGGCCTTTGTCAGTCACCCAGTGTGGCTGCAAAAGCTCCCTAAGCGCAAGGCACCTGCACAGGCCAAAGTGGCCACCTGCTGCGAGGAGGTGAATGAGCTCAAGGCCCAGGTGGCTAACCTTAGTGGTCTACTGAGCGAACTGAGCCAGAAGCAGGAGAAGGACTGGGTCAGCGTGGTCATGCAGGTGATGGAGCTGGAGAGCACCAGCAAGCGCCTGGAGTCGCGGCTCACAGATGCCGAGAGCAAGTACTCAGAGATGAACAACCAGCTGGACATCATGCAGCTGCAAGCCGCGCAGACGCTCACGCAGACCTCGGCAGGTAAGGGCGCACGCGTCTGCACACCAATCATCAGTCCTGATGGATGCCAAAGGCACCGCAGCACTGCTTCAGATTCCCTGCCCCCCAGAATGGTTTTGGGGGCTCCTCCAGGCGTCCAGGCCTCTTACCAAAGGCTTTCCTTTCTAATGTTCTGTAAATCTGCCCACTACCTCCACAGTCCCTCATTCAAACAGTTTCACCAAACTGGGAAGGGACTAATTCCCCCCGTGGGCCCTGGGCCATATGGGCATGGCCAAAGTCATGAGCAAGTCACAGAGGTGGGTGGGGTTCCCATCTTTCTTCATACTTCTTACTGAACCCCTAACTAGAAGCAGGAATGGACACAAAACCATGATACCTGTTGCTCTGCTCACAAAGTTTTGTCCAAAAATAGTTCTTGGTGTCCCTAAAATGTGGCAGGAAAAGGCACTATGGGATTGTGTGTCCTGTCTCTGAAAACCAAACTCTGCTGCCTGGTGAGAATTAAGTGTGGAGACACTGCCCAGGGCCATCTGAAGAAGCCCTTTGCGCCAGCAAAGGATGGGCTCCTCAAGTCTGATATTTCCATTTGCCCCATGGTGTCAAGTGAAATTCTCCCAAGAAACCTAAGAAATAAGCAAGTGTAGAGCTGAAATATGGATTTTTAATGGCCAAAAATAACGTACATTTAATGTTTTCTTTTGCAAAATAACTTTGAGTTGCTGGTTAGCTTGGCACAGATGGGCCAACATGCATTTGGTTTAGAGATAAATTTGGTCTTCTGAAATGATCAAGGAATTAGTTGAAAAAGCATATCCTACAGATATGTCATTTCTTGCTAATATTAAAAACTATTGGCTGTGTTATAAAACAAATCAAGAGCAAAGCCATGAGCAGCTTCTAATCAGTGTCAGTGGGTGCTCCCTTTCAATCGAAGTAGAAAGGTATTCTTGGGCCTGTTTCCAGACAAATGAGCCCGGATTTGGCCTGGGAGATGAAACCAGACACGGGAAAGGCTGGGCCAGCTGGAGAAATCTGACTGTGCCACTGCCAGCGCCTCTGAGCAGGGCAGCTCCGAATGGCCCCCACAGGAGTCTCCTGGGGAGGACGCAGCCTCCTGCCCAGCCTGTCGCTCTTCCTGCCCAGGGTATTGTGCCTTGTTTTTCTCCCGTGCCCAGGGCTGTGTCGCCTCTGTACTCTCCAAGTCGGCAGCCTGATGGAGTAAACAGTGTGAGACTCACCTGCAGAGTGCAGAGGCTCAAGCGAGTGTGCCCCACTCCCCTAGCCCCTGATCGCTCTGCAAGGGAATCAAGGCACTTTGGACGATTTTCACGGTGGCACTGTTACCCTCTGCCATCTTTGTGCTTTTCTGTAAGACCCCAGATTAGTGGGGCCCAAGGAAAAAAATTCTAACGCAGGTAGGGCATAAGGCATCTCCTAGACTGGAAGCATTTTCTGATTCCTCCTGGAAAAGGCTCTTTTTTACAACCTGGTTTGCTGTTTAGTGCAGGAAGAAAACCCAACATAAAGCAGTAGCCCCAACAGCAGCAAAGGAAGCGTTTAAATTAATTCCAGAGGGGAAACGGGAAAATCTCCTTTCCTTATCTCGGGGGAAGACCTCAAAGGGTTCTTCCCATTTTTGGTTTGAGGATCTAGCACTGTCAGGTTAGGGCAGGGGGAAGGTAAGATCGCAGTGTCCATCTCCCTTCAGTAGGGCGCCAGTTGCAGTAGCCACTACTTCTGAGAGACAACAGAAACCAAGGAACAACAAACAGGCCCCTGAGATCCTCAGACATGTCCTGTAAGAGGCACCTGTCCAAGAAGTCCCAAGCTGCTCACATGGGCATGTGGCACGTGGCTCTCACACGCCAGACATTTCTAGAACTCACAGCCCCAAACTAGAGCAGGCTAATTGATTTTGACTCAACTACCGGTTTGTCCCATGTCCGGGGGGGGGGGGCGGGGGGGGCCCTCTCCTACTCTCTGCACGCCCACCCCCCAGAGAAGCCAAACATGTCCTCATTTATCTCCTTATGACCATTTCTCCAAATCCCAAGACAGCCTGGACAGACTGCCTGGGGCCGGGGTAGAGAGGAAGCCTCAGTCTTCAGTCGTTCAGCTCGGACGCAGTCTCTGCTCACCCCGCGCATGCTCTGTTTGCAGATGCCATCTATGACTGCTCTTCCCTCTACCAGAAGAACTACCACATCTCTGGGGTGTACAAGCTTCCTCCAGACGAGTTCCTGGGTAGTCCCGAGCTGGAGGTGAGCTCACTGCAGCCCACTCACTGCTGATGTTCTGCGGCCAGCACTCCATCCCTTAAGACATGAGGACCAGTCATGGGGCCAGTCATGGTCTACAGAGAGGAAACTCAGAGGAGCTGTGCAAACACTCGGTTTATGGGTTCCTACTCCCCAAAGCTGTGCATCTGTGTGGTCCCTTCACATCATTACCAATCAAACACCAGACCCTCTAACACAGATCAGATAATTCTTACAACACCACATCACTAGTTTAAAGCTTTGGCACTGTTCTAGAGTAGCTATTCTCTGGGAAGGGGGGCGGAATGTGAAGTGGGCATACTGGAAATACCCGGGCTGCCCCTCCAAGCTACATTATATGTATTTCCCCAACTCCAATTGGGCCAGTTCTCCTAAGCAAACCCACAGGCGCTGGCTCTCCAGTGACCCAGAGTGACTACAGGAGTACACACACGGCTGCCCTGTGGGGACAGGAGGAACCTGTCCTCCAGCCCTTGCCATCTGCCCTGACCGGAGACCTCTTTCTGCTGCAGGTGTTCTGTGACATGGAGACTTCGGGTGGAGGCTGGACCATCATCCAGAGACGGAGGAGTGGCCTTGTCCCCTTCTACCAAGACTGGAAGCAGTACAAGCAAGGCTTTGGCAGCATCCGTGGGGACTTCTGGCTGGGTAACGAGCACATCCACAGGCTCACCAGACAGCCCACCCGGCTCCGTGTGGAACTGGAGGTGAGCTCGGGGCCTGGGCCTGGAATTGATGCAGGTCTGCTACATGTGACAGCGCAGGCCTCTGTGGCTGACACCCCAATCTATACATTATAGATCTGCCTGTAGAGTCACTCTGGGGCTCTTAGTGAATTTGAGGTTGTAGCACAGATTAGAAAGAGGTTTTTGGATTTCTCTGCAGGAGGAGGTGCAGGACGAGGCAAACCCTGGCTGGGCCAACGCAAACCCAACAGGCAGCTGTCTCTGCTCAGGCCTGGGGCATAAGGGCTTTACACGCAAATCTCAGGGATACTCGTCAGCACCCTCCAGGGGGCGTTAGCATCCTCATGTTGCAAGTCCGATATTTCTGAGGGGGATTAGCAAATGGCGGTACCTACCCCTCAGCCAGGGCAGTGAGCAACACAGAAAGGTGAATCGCGCTACATGGCTAATACGGCAGAAGTCTGAGCAGGACCCCTGTGTGCTGCTCCCCAGCTAATATGGTAAACTACAGGCGACGAGCAATAGCAGCCTGCCACCTCCCTCCCGCCTGTAAACAGGTGTTTGGCTGAGGGCGGGGGAGGAGGGCCGGTGTGTGAAAGGGAGCCCTCTGCGGCCCCCACGGCTCCGTTTCTCTGCCAGGACTGGGAGGGCGAGGTGCGCTACGCTGAGTACAGCCGCTTCGCCGTGGCCAACGAGATGAACAGCTACCGCCTCTCCCTGGGGAACTACAGCGGGGACATGGGGAACAATGCCCTCCTCTATCACAACAACACGGCCTTCAGCACCAAGGACAAGGACAACGACAACTGCTTGGACAAGTGTGCACAGCTGCGCAAAGGTGAGATCCAGAGGGTGGGCAATGGGAGGTGTAACGAGCCCGTGACCTCAGTCAGGGCCACGCAGCTGTGTCCTTCCTGCTGTGGGCTCCAGCTGCTTCGCTGCGGCTATGGAGGGCAGGGCGCCCTCTCAGCTTACCAGCCGTGTTCTCTGTTTCTGACGCCAGGTGGGTACTGGTACAACTGCTGCACGGACTCCAACCTCAATGGGGTGTACTACCGCCAGGGCAACCACAAGGAGCACCTGGATGGCATCACCTGGTACGGCTGGCACGGTGCCAGCTACTCCCTCAAGCGGGTGGAGATGAAAATCCGCCCGGAAGGCTTCAGGCCCTGAAAGGAGGCTGCTGCAGGGCAGGGCTGCTGCAAGGGGGCGCCCGGTGTGGGGCAGGGAGAGGCAGGAGGAAGGCCTGCACGCTCCAAGGAGAGGGGAGCCCTCTGAGAAGCATAAAATATTTTAGCACGTGGGCTGCCGAAGCCAGCACATGCGCACAGTAACACCAAGGACGTCCCATAAACGGGATGAAGTACCTAAAGCCAGCGGTTCCTGCCACACCTGCTCCGGGGCTGAGCTGAGCGGGGCCACTCTGCCCCTCACCCCTGACGAAGCACCTGTTTATTCATCTTCTCTAAGCTATGTGAGGGTGGACAGCAAACACCTTTGCTAAAGAGGACTACACTATCTTGATTCCCAAAAGTGAGGCCTTGAGTGTTACAGAAAGGAGCCAAAAAGTGGGTGGAAGTGGAGAGGAAATTTTGCTTTTAAATCAAATGAAATCACATTTAGCCTACATGTTTTTTAAAAACACAAAAACTGTCAGGCTGGAGATGAGCTGCTGGAGTCTGCTGGGGAGACTCCAGGCCCTGGGCCTGGAGATCAGACCCGGGGAGCATCATGGGGCCACGTGGCCAGGAAACAGCACCCAGAGGTGCAGCAGGGACCATTGGGGGCAGCGGGGCGGAGGGCAGAGCGCTTGGAGCTCACGGGCCGAACCCAGGCAGCAGGGTTATTCACTTTGTAAGAAAGGAGCCCGGTGGCTTCCCTTTTATCTTGTCTATAAGAGATGGCCGAAAACTGAAGACAGGCAGTGCCAGGGTTAACAATTCCCTCTGTAAGTAAGCATCTTGCTTTGTACAAATAGAATGTTGCAGTGTGAGACCGAAATGTTAAAGGTCTCCTACCGGCACCATCCTACGTAAGACTTGAGTATTTTCTTTAATTCTTCTCATTACCACTTATAGTGTTGTAAAAAGTTCAAACAAACCAGAGTCTGTGGTGACAAGGAGACTCGGAGCTTGTTTCAGGCTTCAGAGACACCAAGCAGGAGCAAAAAGCCAAGAAAAGAAGAGCGCCAACAGGCAGCTGCCCCGGCGAGGTCCGAGCCAGGCCGCTCACTAACCCCACGCAGGCCAGTCACCGCGTCGCTTTAAAATGCTTTGCAAATGTTGCCCTGTTTTCTACTTAAAAACAAAGTAAAGATTATCTTTAACACAAGAGATGTCAAGTGGTTCTGACCTCTGGAAGCCCATGGGCGCACGCGCACACACACACACGCTCGTCAGTGTAAGGCACGCCACTCCTCTCCCAGCTCGGCCTGTTGTGCCCACAGCCCTCTGGTTATCGGGAGCCTACTTCAGCGTACAAACAAGGACCTCAAAGGCTTCAAAGCCATAAAGTGACTAAGAAAAACCTCACTGGACTAGGGCTTCCCCGAGAAAGACACTCGAGCAGGGGCTTCCTCAAGCAGGCGGGAGGATCGGGGCGCTCACCCCACACTGCTGGGAGAAATGGTCACAAGTGGGGAGCAAGAGGCCCATGGCAGAAACAGCAAATGTGTCCCATCTCCCGGAGGGCTTTAGGTTCCACCCAGCCCTGGTGGTCTCCTTCACCCTGAACCCAGGGACTGCTGCACGTGAGCCCGGCCTTTTGTTTTGTTCTGAGGTGGTCTCACAATGTAGAGCAGGCTGACTTTGAACTCATGGCAATCCCCCTGCCTCAGCCTGAGTGCTGGGATTACAGGCGCGTGCCATCACGCCTGGCACTCGGCCCTTTTTATTTTTCATTTTGAGATAGGATCTTGTTCAACTGCCCAGGCAGGCCTCAAACCCATGATCCTCCTGCCTCTGCCTCCCATACATTTGAAATTACAGACAACAGTTTATTTGAACAGTATTTTGGGAGAAACTTCTCAGAGAAAAGGGCAGAAGGAAAAGAGAAAGCGGTTGCACAGAACGTCCAGCCGCTCTCCCTGCGGAGGTGTGCATGCCGTGGCACCGTATTTCCCAAGCGCCTGTTCTGGCGCAGGCTGACAGTGGGTACTAATGATCTGGCCCACAGACTCTGAGCTGCGAGAGGACATCACCAGGAATCAACAGCACAGCTCGGTATCCCCTGGAGGCAAAGACCTCTGTTCTGACCAGGCCTTTAAGATCCTCCTCGTGAGAAGGAGGCACACAAAGGAACAGATATGTCCACCTGCGGGAGCACCAGCCTACTTTTTATTTTTAGTTTTGCAGTCTGCGTCAGAAACATTTTTTAAAGGGGGACTACAATCAGGGTTTGGGCAGTGAGATATCCACCTCTAATCAGACCCTGTGGTCTACTTGGGGTGGAAGAAGAGGGCCCAGCGGGCCTCTGGCTGACCAGGCAAAGGCCGCACAGTTTTGCAGGTGTGTACATTTCCTAATAATCCAGCCTCTCAATCCACTATCCCCCTAGGATGAACTGTGCTTCCGATGCCTGTGAGCTCTGAGGACAGCGGCGGCACTGTTTCTACTGTCTCAGTGTTGGGATTTCATACGTCCCGGAGCAGGCAGGAAGACAAGCGGACTGAGCCAGAAGCCAGGGAACAATACTGTCAGCAGAGCACAATTTTAAAGATCAAAAACAAAAAGCAAGAAATGGCTACACAAAGACATTTTTCTGTAGGGAGTACTCAACTGTTTCAAGAAGAAATGAAGGTAGCTGCCTTAAGTATAGCAACCTTTAAAAGAGTAAGCGGTAAAGGGAACATCAGAGGAGGAAAAATAAAACAGCGCAGCGGGGAGGTGGGGCTTAGCAATCACAGCGGGCACCTGTCTGCAGCCTCCTGGCGAGGGCAGGACTGCAGCTCTGAGCTCTCCAGAGCTTCCGTGAGGAGCACAATCCAATCTGTGACTGAAAAGCCACACTCCCAACACCAGACCAAAGCAGAGGCTCTCAGCTGGTCATACAGCCCCTTCTGGGGCTGGGCCTCACACTGAGATGAACCAGCTCAGTGAGCCTCGGGTGCTTAGAGCAAGCATGAAGTTAAAAAAAAAAAAAAAAAAAAAAAAAGTGGCCGAGCGTGGTAGCTCACGCCTGTAATCCCAGCACTCGGGAGGCTGAGGTGGGAGGATCGTTGCAAGTTCCAGACTAACCTGGACTACAAAGTGAGCTCAAGGCCAGCCTAAACTGCATAGCGAGACCCTGTCTCAAAAACACACACACAAAAAAGCCACAATTACATTTGTAGAGAGTTTTGTTTTTCTGAGACAGGGTTTCACTAGGTAGTTCAAACTGGTCTTGAATTCACTACGGAGCCCACAGTGGCCTTAAACTCACAGTAATCCTCCAGTCTCAGCCTGCCGAGTGCTGAGATTATAGGTGTGCAGCACTATGCCTGGGCTTGCAGAGAATTTTGATGACTTATGATCAGTTATATTGGCTTAAGACTAAGTGATGTTTTTATGAGCTTTTCTAGGACTGTACTTCTATCTACTAACAAACCTGCATTAACTTTAATGCCTCTATGACTGCCTCAAATATGGGGAAGACCAAGAGTGGGCTGGGGGAGCCTTCAGATGATGGGCCTTGAACAGAAGAGGGTCAGCAAGGACACTAATGCACAAACCTAGTTATCCAGCAGTGATGTTAGTTTCAAGTTAGCACATTTACTATTAGTTAGCACATGAACTTGTGCTGCCTAAGTCAGAGACAGGAGGAAGAGACATGGGTCTCCTCCGCCCCTGCTGTGTCTAATCTGACACTGAGGCATGCCTCAGTGGGTAGCATCTCTCCCTGTATGGCAGGTTAGGATCAGCACTGTTCAATGCCAATGTGTTTGGGCAGAAACGTGGTTTCATTGCTACTTTTTGGGTTACTTGTTAAAAAGAACACTTTTTAGCATCTGCTCAAAGGCGGAACCAGCAGAGAATATGGCTATTTGATTATCTGCTCAAACAGAGGAAGCACCGTGCTCAGCAGGCTCTGTGAGCCAACTGAGGGACTTATTAGCAGCTGGCTCTTCCCAAGTGTCTGCAATGAATTGATCGATGGTGTCAGCGTTTCCAGGAAGATAATGAGATTCAGAGTTAATATCCTCTGATAATCATTAGGGAATAAGAACAGTTTTCTATGAGCTAAAGCTAATGTTCTGGGCTGCTTTGAATCTCACAACAGCAGAAAATTTATTAAACAACCTCTTTACTCCATACCCAGAAGACTCAAAGCCATCGTGTGAGGGGACAGAATGCAACCCAATCCAGGGGCAAGCCCACCAGATCTCAGCCTTTGCTCTCCTTTTTATACTCATAGAACTCCACAGGAAGACAAGGCACCAACAGGGTTAGTTGCCAGGACAACCTAATCCTGCCCCGAGAGCAGCATGTCACTCAGACAGCACGGTTCTCTCTCCTAAGTTCCCGTGCTGCTAGGCTTGCTCAGCTCCTAGGCCAGGGCCACTGGGATAAGAAGGCATGGGCTGGCAAGCAGGGAGGGCTCAAGTCTGCGCAGTCAACAGAAGTAACAGTAAGGGACTACTGGGGAGAGCCATCTGCCACCGCATGTCACTGCAGAGTGCTGGCCAGGTGGCAGGCTTCACACCAGAAGTCTCTACGTGAAGCCAGTGCGGTGGCACCAGGAGAAGAGAGGTCACTCTGGATGGAGCAGAAGATAAAAAGGTTCAGGCCTACCTGATGAGGGACTCTAGGATGGCGGGCGTGGGACCCTTCTGGAACTCCAGCTCTTTGTAGTGCAGTGCTTTGGCATACGCGCGGCACTTGGCAGCTCTCTCACCCAGCAGGACAATGCCATTATCATCTCTCAATGGCAAGGGCCCCTAGAGGACAGCAGAATACCACAGCATAGGAAAATGGCAGATGGGACAAACAAGAGGGGGCCGTGAGGGTGCTTCCCCCTCCACCTGCTGGCACCTTGTCGGCCTCCATCTGGACACAGGCAGAGTCTCACCTTGTCACTGTGCTCCATGAACTCAGCCAGGTTTAAGAGGGTCTGCGTGACTTCAGCGATATCCTGAGAGGTGAGGGCCAGTTCGATGCTTCTGATGAGCTCATCCTGCTGGTCTTCATTCAATTCCGACCAACAGGACACAAACGCAGCATTGAAGAGGTCCCTGCAGGCACAGGAAGGACAGAAAAGGGTGGGATCCGCGCCCCTTGCACCCTCTCCTCTCCGCAGCGGCCTCTGGTTATACAGACCAGGGCTGTCCTGCGGAGCTTGCTAGACAAGATCTAAACCCTACCTGAAGGGTGCGCCAGCCACTGGTCACTAAGCATGTGGGCCGTGGCGAGTGGAAGTGAACAACTGACGCTTTACAGTGTATTTAGTTTTTTTTTTTTTTTTTTAAATCGGTACCGGGGATCGAACTCACGACCGCCTGCTTGCAAGGCAGGCGCTTATGCTGCTGAGCTAAATCCCCAGCCCCACACTGTATTTAGTTTTAATTAAGTTAAAATAACTGCACATGGCTAATGACGACTGTACTTTACACACTGTGGGGCGACCGTGGGAAGGTGGGATGGCAGAAGAGGGGAAGTATCGCATCTCCACGGTGTATTGCCTGGCAGTTCCTGTGCCAGTTCTTTAAAGCGGAGGGGACAAACAGGAAGGGGACTGGTAACATAGCTGGCATTAACACATTCAGAAAATCATGTTCAAATGATTCCTTTTTTAAAGAGCAGCACCCAAATTCCTAAGAGATGGCAAAGACAGCACCTGTTATCTAAATTTAGTTGAATAATGATTAAAAAATGACAATACTGTTTAAGAAATTAGAAGCATTAACACATCCAGCTTTTTCTCTCCCTCCTCCCTCCCTGTATCATATGTGTGTGTGTGTGTGTGTGTGTGTGTGTGTGTGTGTGTGTGATATCACAGACTGAACCCAAGGCTCTGAGCACAGTAGGCAAGCGTTCTATTTGAGTATACAGTAATGCCTCAGTTATGAACACTTCTGTTCACAATTTGCAGCAAAATTTTGCTTCTGTTTGCACACCCTGCATCAGGTGACAAACACGACCACAGCTCTTCCCCTACACAAAGACAAATGCAGCCATCTTTTCCAAAATCATAAAACACATTAAGTTTGTAAACTAAGGTACCACAGTACTTTGAGTCCCAACTCTACAAGCACTAAAAGATTCTGAGCCCATCTCAAATAACTGGAGCCCTACAAAGACCTGGAAATAGAGACGCCATCTCTGAGCTCACACAACTACTTGACTCACAGGGACGAA